TCGAACACAGGACATATTGGTCTCGTGCGCGAACACTTAACCATCAGACCACTGAGCCGGTCGGCATCCAATGCTGTCAATGTCTAACTCCAACTAGTCCACAAAATTGAGCGACACATCCACCATTATCTTCACTGAGTTATTACCTCACAAATGATCCTGTTGAACCCCACTGGTCACTGCTTCTCACTAGAACTCCAGAATATACATCTTGAAGTCAGTCACTACTGAACATATGTTGATTACTATCAGAAGGGGTTTTTGTGGATATAACAGTAGTGATTTCAATAGTTGATGCGCATTGTTGAGAAGTTTCACAATAGGACGAAATGACTGTTCAGTGCTTCCAGGTTTTTCATGGTGATCTAGCTTTAATTGACTTATGATCTCAATTATTGAAATTACTATGATATACACAAAAACCCCTTCTGATATTAATATAAATTACTAAGTAGGTCTGATATTATCTTGTTAAATTTAATAAAAACTATAATATATTTTTTCTAAATCTAAACACTTTTTGTATACTGAAGGATATTTCAGTGTTTATTTTATTCTAGATTGTAAATAATTTACGAAAAAACAAAAGATTGACATTTTGAACGGGGGATAAATTTGGTTTTATTTCCCACTTGAATAAAACAAATCCGCATAAATTTATATTAACATTTTAGATATTTTTTGAATGCTCAATTGATTAGTATCAACAAGCTCTTAACAGATTGTATTTAACACAACAATATTTTCATTCATGGGTTTAAATAATAAATATTAAACCACATTTAATCAAGAGGAATTTACATGTCATAGGGACTAACTATATTGAATACTTCGATGTTACACTATGTCTTAATAAATATATATTCAATATGATCTTATTTTAATTCCTTTCAAACAGTTCTATACTATAAAATATGTTTTGATTCACTGAACTGTTCGGTTTTGCACAAACGTCATCAATAACTCAGGGTGTAAATTAGACAAAAGATTCATATCAATATGTATGAAGCAAAGTCTTACCAATATGATCGACGGCGTACATACATGAGGAGAAATTCACATCTAGGTGTCGAAGATGTTTCAACATATTGAATAATCATTGTTGAATTCACAAAATTTTACCCTTACTTTTTCTCCTTTTTCTGATGGTTGACTGGATTATGAAGACCCACACATTTGACGGGAAGCAGAGAATACAATAGACAGTTTGCATGCGAGCAGATGATTTGGACTACACAGATAACCTAGCTATTTCATCCCATGCACACAAACAAATACAGATGAAGACAACTAGTGTAGCAAAAGCATCTGCAAGATTAAGCTTCAACATACATAACGGAAAAAGCAAGATCCTCAAATAAAACATGGAGAATACCAACCCCATCACACTTGGTGGAGACGCTCTGGAGGATGTGAAGTCTTTCACATAACAGAGCAGCATCATTGATGAATAAGGAGGAAGTCAACATCAAAGTCAGAATCTTAAATGTGAGCTTAAAAAAGTTCAACTATACGGAGCTGAAACTTAGTGAACTAACACAACTATCGTCATAATGATGCAGGTATTTATAAAAAATTGTCTACGCAAGATACTCAATATTCGTTGATCGGATACCATCACCAACAACCCAGTATGACAGAGAACAAATCAGGTTCTACCTGAATAGGAAATTAGGAAAGGACAATGGGGGTGGATAGGATATACATTGCGGAAATCGTCAAACTACATCACGAAGCAAGCACAAACATAAAATTCTGAAAGGAAAAGGAAAACTTGAAAACCAAAGGGACACCATGCGTTGGAAATTGGAAGCGGTCTGCGTATGCTTTTCTACGAGGGGTAACAGGTGTTAATGATCTCGGATATATATATATATATATATTATGAGTAATAACAACCAGTTCTCCCTGGTAATATTACAGAGAAATAATGGCTTCATAACATGAATACTGATAACAGCTTACTATAGCTTGCAACGAAGTGAAAGCATTTCAAATCACGTTAACTACGAGTTATCACTTTTTTTCTCCTTGTTTTCTAACGTTTTTCAATTGCAGTTAGTTAGTTGTTGAGGTTAAAATTACTGGTATATTGGTATCACATAGTTTTGATATTCTAAAATATATTTCATTGTTGATTTTGACCAGAAATAAAAATAAAATTCAAGTGTTGCAAATATATAAAATACTTCGTCATTTAACCTGGAAGATCATATTCAGCTCCTCGAAAAGGCAGGTAGTATGTTTTACTTTAAATATGTGATTTATAATTCATTCCCGCGAAAAAAGTTTCATCATTAGATTGAGCTGTTCAACACACATCTAGGCTATGAGAAGTGAGGATCTTAAGTATCTAAAGAATCTCAACAATATGATTATTAACTATTGCTTTATCGCCACTGGCTACGCTTAGAATAATAATATTCTTTATCAAATTAGTAGCCGATAACTTGCCCGACTGACAAAAACTGTTCCTTTAATAAATGCTTGTTGACAGGCTTCCCAAATTTATGAATAATCAATTTCCAAAAAGAGTATTTACTGGCAATAATTTAGTTTCAGGTTCGCTTTAATCTTGTAATTATGCCTACTAACTCCAGGCACTTCAGAGATTTAAAAATGTCCCCAATGTATCACGAATCTAATCACTGTGAAAGTTAAAAAGTACCATCGCAATAATTATTTTATTTGCCTCCTTCTTGTTTATCTTTTAGGGAGATGAGGAGTAATTACTCCATAATTTATCCATCAATATATTTAGTAATGAAAAGAGAGATCATGGTAGGATGATTTGTCATAAACACTTGCAGACGAATATAAATATCTGTAATTTTGATGGAACTTGCGGTTACTGACGGACTCATCCCCATATCACACAGCTTCACAGTCAGAGACGTTACCACTGAACTATCCGAGCCTCGACTGATCTCCTGGAAGACTGAGATGTATTTATAATTGCTTGATGACTGGGTCGTGAACAACGTCACGTGTGTCAGGTCTCTCATAGTGCACGGTATCAAGTCCGTTATGGAGCATCACTTTTTTCAAGATTACAGATTCATCTTGCTGTAGAGTGTCAAATACCACGAAACCTAGGTCCAGGGATGTCTGTCGACTACTTCCATCCATCACCTCATCTCAAAATAGTGCATGCGATGTCGAGTTACCTAGATTAGTGACCATACTGCAATTTGTTCCATAGGATTCGATCTGCACTAAGAAGGACCTGACATGCATGAAATTAGTCACTACCCAGCAATTAATCAATCAAACGTGAATATAAATATTATTTCATAAACAAGTAAAAAAAATTAATTCATACATTTGTGATCATTCACATATTAAGTTCTGATAAAACAATAAAACTGTCGCAATGTTATATATTTTATACTTAGAACTTTTTACAGTAATAAACCAATTAGTATGAGGAAAGCAAAGATTATTTAAACAAATAAGACTGTATTACGCAGTAAGTTTTGAACTAAATAAATGAGAGGAACCGAAAACGTTTTAAGTATATACAACTATTTCAAGTTCTATGCAGGAAAGATGGAAAAGAACATCTAGATAATGCTAAATCAAATAACAGATGATAGTAACTAATCTGAATAGTTTATGAATAATCCATCAGCTAATATGAACTTATTGTAAATATCTTTAATTTTTATAAGTATTAACAATGAATATCAACATGATAACCAAAAATATCAAGTCACTAACAATCTTGATATCAATATCTTTATTCTTTATAGAATTGTTCTTTTTACCTACAATGGTCCTATATGTTATAGAGACTTAAAGACTATTTGTAGTCAGTTTTGAATTTAAATGTTATGTTCAATGGAAAGCATACTCTAATAAATAATCCAATAAAAAAATTACATTTAAGTCGTTAGGATCGAAATGATTTGTTTAAATTAATTAGATTCTATTTTTCATAATACAGTTCTTATAATTTTCATTCATAATTTGAGGTACAACTGTTACAAACAATTAAACTTAAGGGAAAATAAAACATTCACCCGTAATTTGTAAATATCTTTTACAACCAACAATTTATTCTAATATATTACATTTATTAATTGGCTAATTTGTTATTCGCGCAAAATTTTATTTTATATATATCTCCTTGTTTTTTTTCTTTTATTTAAATAATTTGTTTTAAATGACAGTGATGCCCTGTTAATAATTTTTCATATATGTGTTCTAAATTACTAAATCAAATATAAAGGTGAGGTATGCATGATAGTCATGTAAGAGGCAGATTTTCTTTCTTAAAAAAAAACACAACAAAGTCCGAAATGACAATAGCAATAATACATTGTATATTTGACGCCGATGATAATGATGACAAACGGTGTTTGTAATAAATAGTTATTGTACATGTTGATGTATCCTGTGGAGATTTGCTTAGTTGTTAACATGTTTTTTTTTAAAAAAAAAAAGTTTTTAAGAACAATTGCCAAGTTATAAAGTTTTTTTCTTACATCTACAGTAAAACACAATGGAAAAACAGTTGAACGAATATGATTATTGGTTGAGTGCTTTATACACACGTCTAAAAGGGAAGTATTATTACACGAACAAAAAATTAAAACACTGATTGTGTAGGGAGAGGTTAGTAAAACAAAATTTTTAGAAGGGTGGGCAAAATGTTTTAGATGAATGAAGATAGTATATACATGTATTTGATAATAAAAAATGTTTTAATGTTATATTCATCCTACCATTGTTTTTATTCCATCTATAGTTTGTAGTGAAGTTCTCATTTTTATTCTTCTATATGTTGTTCTCCCATCATCTTACATAATTTGGTCTTGTCAGTTTACAAAATTATAATTACAATTCTTTTGTTTTATTTTTTTGTGCATCTGTAAAATGTGTGTGTGTATGCATGTATGTATGTGTGTGTGTGTGTGTGTTCGCATGTGTACATACCCTCTTATCGGATTGGATAATACTTACCAGTATAAAGTCTAATAAAATACAATAGAACCATTGTAATAATAAAACCTGAATTTTAACGTAACTAATAAATTGGGCGTATAGAAGTTTAATTCTTATCATAAATATTGACATTTGATACAAACATTTTGTAAAAAAGAAAAAAGAAAACATGCTCTAGGCAATTATCTAGACAATTATGAATTTCATCTTATATTTATTGTGGGAATTAATTTATTAAAACAATCCGTTGAATTAGTTGTACAATTTTCAATTCAATAATTCTATAAATTATAAATCCAATATGAAAACAATTACATTTTTAATAAATTTGTGGATTATAATTTTTTCTATCATTCTCTCTTGTTATTATGTGAATAGTACAGTTTATTCTTATCCTTTACATATATTTGGAAGAATTGGTTTAACAAGTGCATCGAAACAACCATTTCTTAGTTCATGGAATTCAAAATATATTAAAAATCATGATAATTATCCAAAAAGAAATTATTTACATAATGATTTATTATTTAATGATCATGATTCATCGTCATCATCATCATCTGTATCATCATCAACAGCCTTATCATCGCCAACATCATCACTTTCTTCATCATTACTCTTAGATGAAAACTTTTTCGATATACATAATACTCATTCATCAAATATAGATCGATTAGATCCAACAAGTTATTATGCAGATTGGCATCGTTTATTAAATGGTTATGGTAGTCAAAGATGTTATAAAATTCCTAAAAATATGTCACTATGTCAAAATATTGGTTATGATAGTATGATATTACCAAATTATTTACAACATGAAGATCTTAAAGAAGCTGTTGAACAATCACAAGTATGGACAAGTTTAGTACAAACTGAATGTCATTCTGATTTGAGAAAATTTTTATGTGCTTTATATGCACCAGTGTGTGTTGATGGACATCAAGAACGTCTTATACATCCATGTCAAAATTTATGTGAAGATGTACGAAGAAGTTGTTTACCAAAAATGTTACAATTTGGGTTTGGATGGCCAGATATTGTTAAATGTTCTAGATTTCCTACTAGTGCAACTAGAATGTGTATACCATTAACTCAACAAAGAAGTGAGTGATCTGTGATAAACACGAAGCATTCTTTTGATTAAGAATTATTATCATTTAATGCTTGAAAAGTCGCACTTAATCTTTGAAGTAAAACCATGTATTTATATTGTATGAAAACTTTACTGAAATATTACAGAATTTCATCATAATTATAATGAGGAAAATGGCTGGAGTGTTAAATCTATTGAATTTCGAAAAAGCAGTCTAACAGCTAGAGCTAGTGTGTTTGTATTTCCTAGGAGTCCCATACTACTATGAAACAGTTGACCAGTTTAATCCACTTCTCAGTAGGAACTCAAATGTGCATAAACTGTATTCAATATTTCCATGTTAGATAACCATCAGTTTTTATTATTAATTGCAGAAAGAGAGACTATTCCAAATAGAGTGAGGATAGAACTACGCTAATAGTTCGCAAAGCAATTTTAGAGTCTATGTCAATCTCAAAGATGAAATTTTTCACCCATTCGGTAATGTTCTTATAACTAAGTGTTAATAAGGTGATCTCTGAATGACAACTACATGAAGTATCTGTAGATTTAGGGTTTTAATCATATTTTTTGCACATTAAATACGATAAATTATCAATATAAACATTTGCCAACCCTCAAAATAGATGCTCTAATTTCAAATAATTTTCACAATTTGAAATTATATGATTTATTGACTTCAATGACAAGATTGGAGTTGAAACTTTCAAATAAATTAAGGATGGGGTAGAATGTACTATTTTCTTTGTACTATTTAAACTTTGGTTACTTTAATTTCGGTTATTTATTTAGTCCGAAGAAGGGATTTACGTTAAGTCACAGGACGTCAGAAATACAATTTTCTACTCATTAGCACAATACAAAAATATATTTATTGTATTATTTATTTATTTTTTCCATAATCCCTAAATATTCTGATTAAAAGTTATAAGTAGTAATATATATATACGTTAGCAACCACTGAATATCGAACAGTTTTGTTTAACATGGGCGTAAGAACATACTGATTGAAAGGTGAGAATTATCACTGATTTCAATCTTATCTCTGTCATGCTAAACGGATCAATATAGATTAGGTATATAGAGTATGTGGACTCAGGTGGGGAAAATGAATTTATTGTTAACGCATAATTATGCAATGCTATTGTAAAATATAAAAATCAAGCATTAAATACATTATTTGCACATCTTTTTCATTTATCCTGTACATATTTCTTCATTCTTCAAATTCAGTTGGTATTCCAATTTCTTACTCCTACCATTTCTACTCTCTTCAATTCATTCTTCTCAATCTTCTGCTGGCAGTCATTCCACTTCCGACTATTGCTATAATCTACTTAAATCTTTCAACATAAGTAGCCAACACCACAGGTAGACCGAGAAACCGTTAAGAAATTATGACAAAATATAAATTAGTAAGAAGATCAATTTTCATTTTATGATTATGAAGATACTTAAATTATAGACGTCCAATTTTACATTCATCCAATTATTTCTGTTATTTTCTTATGATATTAAGTGGTTTCACATGAAATATTTTATTATCTTAGCGCTAAGTTTCAGCGGTTTCCTTAAAACTTTGTTAAGAAATTTTAATTTTTTCAACATGAATAACGGTTTTCTTCATATATTTTAAAATAAATGGATTGTAGCTAAAAGTGAAGTCCCAAATAGAATGAAATGTGCATCCTGGACTTCACTGCTAGATACAGCCCATCTATTCGATAAGACGTGACGAAAGTGTTATATTGGGCCAGTATCTACAGGATGAGTATATGTCAACAAAGAATGAACAAAGTTTAGTCAAGTTTACCAACAACTGGTTAATCCAAGCTTTAACTACTAATCATACATTGTGCAAAAGATATTGAATTAAGTAATATTTACTGATGAATACACGAATAAATGGAGGAAAAATGTATACAATAAGGAATCTTTCAAAGTTGTGTTCATATCGTTATTTATAGATTGAACATGTTTCAAGACGTTATTTCATACTTCATGTACAGAGCAAACATAATAAAAGTTGAGTTTCTGCCTTGTATTAACATATGTGTACAGTTCACTTTACCTAATATTTTTAATGTTCAAAGTTTAAATGCAAAGCAAAATGTGAGACTGAATCACTTAGCTTTGTTATTATATTATATGTGTTGACTGATAAGTTTTAATGATAAGTTAAGACAGGGAGATAAAATTAGGGATCTTTCGGTAGTTGGCGAACAAATTAGTGCATATTAGTGGCAAATAAATGCATGTGTGAATAATTAAACTAGTTAGTGAAAGTAAGCTGATTTTTTTAAAAATATTAAACACTTACAATTGTTATCCGAGAAGCAAATATTGTCATAACTAAAAAAGTTGACTAAAGAACGTCGCAATACATCCAACCAATCTAACACATAGAATGATGAGTAGAAGAAGGCAAAATAATTTGTTGCCTACTTAGATAATGTTCAGTAGTGTACGATCATTTAACCTCGACCATTACAATTCTGGTCAAAGACGTTTCAATGGATTGTCTCCGTGCTTGTATGTTGTTTTGAAATCTTTTACTTGGACCGATTTGACGTATGTGGTTACTCACAAAACCCAATTGTTGACATAATTTGTGAATATAAGGCAAACTTCTGTCAGTGAAACATAGATTGGGTCGATAAGCTTTATCCTTTGCTAACCACATCAGTTCATTGATAAGTCAAAAAGTGAGTAAGTATACTAAAATGTCAATCAATGTATCTTGATGAGATTTTGTCCTCTGATCTGAATGGTTTGGTCGTGAAACTTTCATCGTTCTTCTTTATCAATACAAACTTCGGGTAGAAATGATGTGTTCAAATTTTTCCACATGTTGTTCACAGCTTGTCCTGTAAACCTCGATGTTGATTGATTCTTATTGACCTGTTGAGCACAAAGAACAAAACTTCATCAAAATCATCCACCTGAGCTATAAATCTTCTCCATCATCTTAAAATTAACATTTAACCACAATTGTTTCACTCTAATCAAAGTGTTATAGTTATTTATAAATGGTACTGCCAATTATTTCATAGATTTATGATAAAATAATAGTATTTTGTCTCATTTTAAAATGGACAATTCTCAATGATATCTCTTAAAAATTCTACTAAAGAAATGACTAAGAATCATCATTTTAAACAAAAAGAAATTCTTACAATTGACTTTCTGATATTCACAGTCGTTATCACAATACTTTATTAGAATGAACTTACACTTATTGTACTAATCAATAGTTTGACTACCTTGTTTTGATGATCTTACATTTAGAAGGGAACACTAATAATAGTAATAATGATAATATATCAACTGTGCTTAATTCTGCACATAGATCATTTAGACCTTTAGCTTCTCTTTTTCCTCATAAAAAACAAACAAACATTATCATCCCTTAAATTTAAGAGCATCATTTTAACAATTAGATACAAAATAATCAATAAATAATTGATGTTACCCACTACTATTCTTTTTTTTTTTAAAAAAAATTTATATGATTACATAATTTACCGGTTACTGTTTGTAACATTTCTGCACTTTCTTAATATTCTCTCTATTTAATTTGAATCATTAATAAATAAATAAAATAAAAAAAGCATTCAAATATTTTGGAAACAAACTAGAACATAGTTAAACTATGTCCATAACATTAATCTAATTTTGTTGTTAAGAAATGATACAAACAAACAAAAAGATCAAAGAATAATATTTTTTTAAAGTTTTATTAAAGGAATATCTACCACAAACATTCATGTAAATCATAAATAATGACAATTAGAAAGCTTCCTATTTAGAAATAATATAAGTAAACTTAAAAGACTATTATATAGTTTAATTTATTCATTATTATTATTTCTATAGGAATTGTTGACAAGAGGTAAATCGATTGAACCATATGTTTTTATAATGAGAGATATTAATGGTTAATTTATTTGTTTGGTTGTTTTTTTTCACCAATAAAATGAAAAAAAAAAGATTAATTATGTCATTTGCTCATTTTGCATTTACTTTACATTTGTCTAGTTAAATAGATACAAATAAAAGATACATTTACAGACCAAAATAATGAGATGGTGGAGAAGATTTATAGCTCAGGTGGATGATTTTGGTGGAGTTTTGTTCTCTGAGCTTTTGTTCTCCGACCGAACCATCCAGCTCAGAGAACAAAACTCCACCAAGACCAAAATAATTTTAATAGTTAAATTTCATTATGAAAAAAATGATTAATATAAATTATTACAAACTTTATTGACTAAGAAAACTTTCTAGATAACTAATTAATGAGAATAGATTGTAATATTTAGACTTCCCTAAATTAGTTATGCTTACTTTCTAATATGTTTGAATAATTCATTCAATGGTTAATGAATTCCTAGTTAATCACTTAGTCATAAGTAACTTAAATCCTTAGTTTATGTCACCATAGTGAGATGACTTTATTGAGTAATAATTATAGCCATAGTTTCATAGGTAGCAGAAAAAAGAAACTAGTTATAGACAATATGATTCATGAAGAAAAACAAAAACAACTTCGTGCAGTAGAAAATATAAAATAATTTTTAAAATCATGATCTATGAAGTTAAAAAAGTTGATACACTTTCATCTTTACGATTGATCCTAACTCATGTTATTGAACGACTCAAATTATTTGAATACGATAATCGTGTAAAATCAAACAACTGATCTGTTACAATCTATATGTCTCAATTCAAAAATTAATAACCTCGTGGACTGATGTCACATCTTAGTTTAATAAACTCTAAGTAATTCTTAAAAATGAAGTGATCGCAGTTAAGAGGATCCTCTTGGGTTTTTAGAACATTGGAATTCATTAAATAATTTTCACGAATTGACCACTTAATACAATCACATCAAAATAGACTTAGCCACTGAAATGAGCAAACAACAGAATGTTTCACTGAATATTGACTTCTGAACCCACAAAAATAAAATTTATTCTAAATTTTGTTTCCATGATCTACAGTTGATAAGGT